GGTATTGCTTACACTGAGAAAAATTGTTCAGCCTTAGTCTATTCATCTAGGGCCCTTACTGTAAGCTGCTTTGTGTCCTCTTTATTGCAGAAAAATTACGTAAATGGTGCATCTAAGCAGGATGAGACTAGAAGGATGTAGGGAGCTTCCTGGTAAAGTACAACCCGTACATTGGCTGCTATTACTGGTATGAGGTATGCTATGGAAAGACCGTTTCAAGTAAAGGAGGCCCATTCAGGACCCCTTCACCTGGGATCCATGTACAGCTAGTGTTACATTTATGGATAAATTATAGATAGAGTATTGCTAATACCATATAATGATGAGCTACGTAAGGGGAGAGACAGCAGCTTTCAGAGCTTTGCTTATTGGCTTTTATTTGGGCCACAGCTGACGTTTATCTTAGGTAAAATGTGTTTGTGATACTGAAAAGGTGGGCTCAGGAAAGGATCTCTGGCATAGATGGGACTAAAATTCCTTTTAGGGTACTGCCTCATTCAGTGACTGCTCTCAAGGATCTTTACATACACTTTAGAGGTGAACAAAGAATTGTGCAAAGTAAAGAAGGTCTGACCTGTATATTCCTGTATTGATGCCTAGATAACTCTGGCAGCAACTGAAGATCTCAGGCTGCAGGTGAAGACTGTGACTGAGTAGCTCCTTGTGCTGTCTGAAGAGGTGGTCTAGATGCTGTCAGCAGTTGCACAGCTGCTTCCTGATTTCCTCAGCTCCTAGCACAGACTGTGGCAATCACTCTGAAATTACTGCCTGAGCATTTCATAGTATCCCCTTGTTTTTCCCAGTGCTTAGGCAAGGGATAGCTGAGTGATCATCCCCTGAGCCAGTATAGCCAGCTACACTTCCCCAGAAACACCAACCAGAAAGCGAAAAAAAAGCCTTAATCTAAAAATGCATTGCGGTGTCTCCTTCCCTCCTTGAATAAGGAGAGGTAAATTCCCACTCGAGCGCTATAGGGGAAGTAAAAAGCCTAAACAGCCTCATGAGATCCTGGAAAGCAAACACAAGTCCAATGTGTGCATGAACTAAGCACAGCTGTTTCAAAACTTGTCAGTCTAGTGACAGAAATTGGTCCGAATTGGTCCCAGTTTCAGAACTACTGGCTGATAGAATGATAGTCACACAGTAATATGACTGAGCTTTCTAATTGGAAATACTGCATATGGGTACTGTAGCTAATAACAAATACTGCATTGAGTTTCCTCAGACAAAAAGTCCAGCTGGGGCAAGGCCAGTTCTGCACTATAGTTAATCACCAATGCTATTCTCTAGGATAGCTTTTTCCACACATTTGTTAGCTAGACAGGGCTGCACTGTGCACCTAAGGACCTATTCCAACCTTTCCTGTCAAACACTTGAACACTACACAAAATGACAGCTACCTTTGTAGAAAGCCTGAAATCATCCAATATTTCAAGTCTTTCACACTCTGTAGTTAACATGGGACTTTTCACATCTCACACTGTGGCTTAAGAATGAGATAGCTGAAAACTTCCAGTCCTCTCAGGGGTGGGGTATAGAGTTAGCTGTCACTATCATCCATATCATTCTGTCATTACAGTTTGTGGGTTTAGACAGCTGTTTCTTAAAAAAAAAGATTGGTTTATATTTCATTGCTTTTACAGCTCCACAGATCTTACCTAAAGTCAAGACTCACTTCATGCTGCTATTATTTTTTTTTAAAAAACAGACTTTTATTAAATCCAGAATAGTGCTGACCTGCAGAGCCCAGCTTCCCTTTAAGCAATAAGGTAGTGACAGTCTTTCCAGTGGGATTGTACAAGCATATTTTAAAAAGGTTTCCAGCTTTAGCTTCAAAATCTTGGATATGTACACTTGTGGCCTCTACATTTTCACGTTTTTCCAAAAGTAACAATCCAATCACAAGTCTGAAATTTAGAACTGCTTTTGCATCTTGCTTCTGATACCACATTTCTCTGTCTTCATTCAGTTAGTGATGTTCTGGCCTCCCTATGATCTGGCTTATTCTGGGACTTTTTTTATTAACTTTTTTTTCACTACCCCATCTATCTGATTCACCCCCTTTGCTTTCTCCTAGAAACCTGTGAAAGGACACACAGATCAAGAAAGCAATCTCTTCTAGGGTTTGGTATTAACATGTACCAGGCTGCACACATGATGATGTAGACTTCTCATTCACCAATTCATGTGTTACCTGTTGGCAGATTAGTGAATTATCTAATTTAAAAAGAAAAAAAGCAAACCAAAAAAACCAACAAAAAACAAACCTTACTGCTGCAGTTAGACATTCTTATGCAGTTTTATTTATCTATTTATTTATTAAAAAAAAGAAAGTCATGTTCTTGAACCTAATCAGTTATTTCCTTGTGCTTTTTATTCTTAGAATTCTGTCTGAAAGCTTTCTCCCCTTCTCAATACTGTGTTACCCCTGCGCTTGGATAATGGGGCATTCTTCTAATCTCAACTTCTTTACTTTTTCCCTCAAATAAAGCTCCATCTAATAGCAGCTTCCATTTGCCACATAGCTCTGGTTTTGTTTTGGCTGCATGAAGAAATTGGGTTTTTTCTTTTTTCTTTTCTTTCCAAACATATCCAGAGATGAAAGGTGACTCTTTATCTCCAAATACTTCAAGGATTGACACACAGCCTGTAACAACTCCTGCTCTTTCCTGGGTTCTCATTACCTGAAACAGATGGTAGAGGAGAGGTGGAGTCCTGCAGGATGCTTTCCCTGAGGAAGGCAATTGCCTTTAGTGACAGCTGGGTAAATGTTAATTTCTGACTCATAAGACATGTATTTCATTTGAAAAAAAAAAGAAAAATATTTGGAGGAAACACAACTTCTCACACTTTCCTGCAGAATAAAAAAGGCTGAAACTTCTGGCCAGAATTCTAAAATCAGCTTCAGAGTTTCACAAGCCCACTTGGAATCTTCACAGATACATTTATTTGTATTTTTTCCTATATATCCTTGCATAGGGGAAAAAAAATAAAAATTACAGAAAGCCTGTGAAAATTCCCTTTATGTTAGGAACTCAAAAAATACTACTCTGATAGGCAACCAAGTTAGAAACATCAAACATAGAAAGTATGCTTGAGTTAACATGAGTTCTGCTCCAAACTACAGAGCTTGTGGGTATTCTGGACCACAATCTCTTCTCATCCTACTGTGCAAAGTACTTTTGGAATATTTAAAAGAAATTGGACAGTTTCAAATAAATGTGAAACTTCTTCAGATAACTTTTGAAAGCTGGGATATGACCTGTCTCTTGCTATTACAAAACTATGATCCTTCTCTAAAAATGAGGCCAAATGTACTTCCTACTGTATGTATCTTAGTGTATAAATCCATTTAAAATGGCTTAAGCCTTTTTCAGTACACATAGCTCAGCACATCAATCCAGGTCTTGTGTATTTGCACTTAGAAGCTCAAGTGTTTGCAATGATGTCTGTATGATTTGAACAAGGAGTCTGGCCAAACTTCTCACTCCTTAGTTGAAAGTAACATTACTAAATTCATTTAAATAATTTTGGCTTTATATTTGGGAAAGCGGGGGCAGAAGTTATCCTGAAGTGTGATTTGCTGCTGAGGCAATTCGGTAATGAACATGTTGTCTCTTCATCAATGTCCTTATATCGGGAAAAGTAGTTTGAGTTCTGAAACACACTTCATTCACTTCATTCACCTGTGCTTCATCTGGAACATGGTGTGCAGTGCCAACTCGGTCCAGGAAAAGCTGGACTTCTTTTTGTTTTCTTTTTGTTGGACTTTTCTTTTTCTTTTGTTCTTATGAGTTGTTTTAAGTTTATTATTATTTTAGGTTGCTACAGTAATCTATTACATAATCAGTGCATTTTATATTAATACATTACTACTAATATATTAATATGATTAATGCATTTATTATTATCAAATTTGAAACATACATATTGTTATAATATTTGACCCTGCTCCACTGAGGGAAGAGCTTTGTTACCAAAGTCAGAAGAAGTAGAATCAAATACTTCAATGAGCTGCAGTGGTGGGGAAACAACTTGAATTAGAAACGGTAAATTATTTTGATTCTTACATAAGGCAAGGCTTTAAATAATCTTAAACCGAAGTGATGACCAAAATCAGTTTATAAGTCCAGATTTTTCCAACTGCCATAAAGTCTTAGGTTTATTTTTTCCTTACTGACTTCAGAAAGGAAAGAAATCCCAAGAAACTAGAAGAGCTTTCAAATAAACAATAAATCAACTACTGAAGTGGAACAAGGACTAGCCATATATCAACAGAAATGACCTGAGCACGGATAGAGTCTCCATCTAGATTAGAGAAGAGCTCAACTGATAAAGCCAAGAGAATTAAAGAAAGAAAAGATGAGCAAAGACCAGTCAGCTCCTGAAATAAACTGTAATCAGACATACTTGTTATGTTATGTTGGAAATATAGGACAGATCTTTACATGGCTTAATTGGCATAGCAGTACTGCACCTAATTGTGCTGGATGACTGTATGCAGCAGTACATGCTGGTCCATGTGACTTTACGCATACTCTTATATTCACATTGGAAGTGTAACATTCTTTCAGTGCCATAGTTGCTGTGCAAAGGCAACATTAAATTTCACACAGTACTTTATTTTCAGACAATCCAGTAAATGAACATTTAACGGACATATGTTCTTTTATAATAAAGGGTACTTCTAAGCAATAGAAGTTCTTTGATCCGTCTTCTTACGAAATGGTTTGTTTTTATAATAACAAAGTGGAAAGCAATGAATTATACTGAAATTTTCATCATTCTCACGTCTTTATTACAGCGAAAAATCTCTAGGATACAAAATGCATCCAACATTCAGACATCCTAAAAGTTGTTTGGGGCTAAGGGCCAAACAAATGGGTTAGACCAACTTTGGTCTTTCCTCACTGGCATCTCAAATATCCTGAACCCTTCCCCTTTCTGGTATTCCTCTTACACCCAAATTCTTGCTTCTCCATGCTCACTAGCACTGGTGGGCTGTACACGAATTAACCTTGCTACCTTCCAGTTTCTTGATGACTACCTTAAAAGTGCTCAATAAGCCTGGTTCTTCCCACAACTCTTCTTTCAAATCTGTGGGGGAAAAGCCAATGTGGTAAAACAAGAAATTATTATAGTAAAGGATGAATGACCTTACAGAACAAATTCTGGCTTTTCTGCAAGCTTCAGAGCCTCATGCATCCCGGCAGCTGATAGCTTCCGGTTGATATTCCTGTATCTGCATTGCAGGAGGTTGCGATAAGTTGTCCGCAGGTCCCGATTGAAGAAGGCATATATAAAAGGGTTAATGAGAGAGTTTGCATAACCCAACCATAGAAATGTTCTCTCAACCCACAGTGGGATACAGCTGCATGCTGTACCACAGATGAAGGGCCTGGCAGTTGAGAGGAGGAAGAAGGGCAGCCAGCAGACAGTGAAAGCCCCAACAATAATTCCAAGTGTAGTGGCAGCTTTCTGTTCTCTTTTAAAGATGGAAATGTTTTTCTTGTCATGCTTTAGGAGCCGTGAAAAATTAGTACATTCTTCAGATTCCTTGTGCAGTTTTACAACTCCATTCATAGAAATCCCTTCTATTTTTTCTGGACGAGGAAAACCAGCGAACTTGTGTTTAGCAGCACTCCTCTTGGCAGCTTTGTAAATCTGATAGTACATGAAAAGCATCACTGACATTGGAATATAAAATGCAACTGCTGTGGAGTAAATGGTGTAGCCAAAGTCTTGACTGATCAAACAAACCTTTTCATCATTTACATTTTGGGCCCAGCCGAAGAGTGGTGGTATAGTGATAGAGGCTGACAAAAGCCATACACACAGGATCATTTTGGCCATACACTTCCCATTCTGCCTTACAGGGTACGTAAGAGGTCTCGTTATTCCCAGGTACCTAGAACAATAATGTAGAGTTACTATACAGAGCAGTGGTTAACTGATAAAAGTTATTTCACGTAGACTGCACTAAAATAAAATGTCTTTGTCTAAGACATTTTCTATTTTACATTTTTCAATCCTCTATTTGCATGTATTCCAAACTTGTAAAATCATGCGGGTTTCATATTAGGATTCATAATGCTATTCTGTATAGTGATATGCTGCATAAAGGGTCTTTTATTCTAGGAGGAAATCTCCCATTGGCCAAAACAGACTGCAATTTTAATGACTTTGTACAATCTTCATACAGACAACTCATTATTTTAGCATTTAGATAAATTCTGAAACCTAAATTTTATTTGGCTAACATATGAAATCTTGGGAGTATAGATGAATGCTTCCTTCACAAAGCCTACCACTTTTTGTATTGAATACATGGTTAAGTTAAAACAAGCACACATTGATCTTCATTCTTCTTACATATTCTACAGTTATAAAGATCCCTAAACTGAGATGATGAGTTCTCTTTCTTACCTTCATGTTTCAGATGGGAACATCAAACTGCAAACTTGGGAAAAGAGTAGATTATTTTAGTGCTACAGTAGTTTTTTTTTTTATCATCATATTATTAGAAAGGAATTATATTATTATTATTATATTTATTCAATGTTCAAACTTTTACTGAAAAAAAACAACAATCTACCACACTGTCAGTTCACGAAGACCTGGGGAAAATACATAGTTTTCCCAGGAGGTAAGTTTTGGTTGGTAAATAATAAAAAGGCAAGAAATACGTTTAAAAGGTGTCAAGTTTTCATAGGAAATAAATAAATAAGTAAGTTCCTAACGTCTACATTTTGCAAGCTGTGATTGCTTAAACTATGTGGGTTTTCTAATTAAAAAAAATAATGCTGTGGCTCTATATAGCGGGACAGCAATATCTGCAGTTTGTGCTTACCCTCAACTACAGAAAATGTCTTTAATGCTTCTCTAACTATGGGAGGTTTCTTTTAGATGGAATTAGAGATGTTTTGGTGGGATTTTTACATCTAACATTTTTACTTTGAATTCCAGTTTCTGCTCAACTGGAACTTAGGTATGAGTTACTGTTCCCTTCTCAAATTGGTTTTTTTTTGACTCTTCCCAAAAGAAAGAATTTTGAGAAAAATCAGTGCAATTCCTTTTGTTACTTGTAAAAGAAATGGTTTCAAATTATGTTTCAGAACAAAATTTTGTTTTCAAGAGCTACCAGTGTTTAGTTGCACAGTGAAGGTTTAGGAGTATTCCAAAAAAGAAATATAGTAATGCGATTAAAAATTGTTTTTTGAGCATTTATTCCCTATTCACCGAGCAAATCAAATATGAGTATTTGCCTGGCTCTGCAGAATGCTGCGTTGTTGATTTTACTGCAATGCAGTAAATTATGGCCAGTGCTGCTGCTTTATACAAGCCCCCAGGTATGCTACAGTTCTGGAAGTAGAAAGAAGCATCATTTCATGATCTGTTATGATGAGTAACAACAATCCCCCTCAAAAACATCATTGATTTTATATTAGTGCTATGGCAAGTGTTACACAAAGGACAGAACTGGTTTATTATGCCTTGTTCTTGACATCATGCACAAGTACATTACAGCAGGCCAGAATTTTGCCAGTGAAGCTGTGCCTGGTGGGGCCATAAGCTAAGAAAAGTATTAAAGCCATTTCACCTTAGAGCAGTGCAATACATGGACCACTCTATTATAAAAGGCTGCTTCTTGTTCCCCTCACCATCAGCATTAGAACATAGTCACCAGAACATCTCTGGAGGCTGTGAGCACACTGTAGCATCCATGGAAATTTCTGTTCAACACCATCACAGCTGAAACTGTTTGTGCTCCCAAGGAGCTGAGAGTTTTCCAAGGCACTCTAATATGTAGAAGAGTAGTTTCAGATTTTAACTACATAGGGGCTACATTGTACTGCTTCACGTAATCTAACTATAGTAAGGGTAAGTTATTAGCTGCAGCCCTTCTGAGACAAGAGTTGCATACATTTGTCTGAGAACATCACAATTTAGCTATAAAACAATTGAACATCCTTTGTGCAGAAAGATTACTTGTCACTTACAATCTGTTATTTTCAAAAAAATCTTTAAGAAGTTGCCTGCCTTCCTGAAGTATGTATTTTTCTAGCAATTACCCAATTAGTCATTAAAAATAACACATAAGGTAGGTAGGCTTTATTATGTAGCTAAAAAAGTTAAACTGTATTTCTGTAAAAATCAGGTCTATGCATGCTCTGAATATCTGCTGATGCATTCTCATGCATCAGAATATAACAAAAAAAATCATGAAAGCAGAAGTATACTGAAAAGAATTAAAATTCATTAGTTTTGCCCTGGCATCACTTTTTTGGAAGCTATCTGAGCTTCAAAAATGCTATTTGAAATTAAAATACATTAATTAACATAAAAACATACCAGCATCCTTTCTGCCTTATCCATTTTGTTAAATGTAGTATGATAGAGAAAAGAAGTCAGCTGGCATAAATGAAGGAGCATTATCTTTTTATCTCTACATACAAAATCCATTACCCTTGAAAACTTATTTGCTACTTCAAAATAATGTAAATCACTACTGTAGTCTAATACACTGGAGTGTCCAAGACCTAATAGATTCAAGAACTTCAAAAGTATTATGTCAAATTCATTGAAAAATAGACTTTGTAATGCTTAATCTTTAATTACTGCCTTCCAAAAAAAAATAAATTACTAAAGGTAAATCAGATGAGCTTAAGATATCATGCAAAAATACGTAACACCTTGAGACCTTACAGCTGGGAACAAATGAGGTCAAATTCCCTAGAAAGACTTTTTGATGTATCTCAGCTATCCCCCGCAAGAAAGGAGTGTCTCAGACTTGTTATTCCGAGATTTGTTTCTTTTATATGCCACAGATGTTCATTTTGATCTTGGTGGGGAAGAAACTGCGCCTCAGTTCTCACTTGCGAAAGAAGGGCAATGCTATTTCCTATTCCTCCTCCTCTGAGTTTCTTGAGTATATGGTTCTGCCAGACAAGGCATCTACCCATATTACACCCACCACATGTAGGTTACTCCCCAAAAGCACAGTATTGCAGATGCACAGCCCTGATTTCTTATAAACTGGTCATGGCATTTCTCATTCAGCATTGCCTGATGATGTAGGCTGAACACCAAAACGCAGGATCCTACAGCATGTCAGGCAACACTATGGGAAGCACAACGCATACTCTAGTCATGGTCCTGCTGCCATTCCAAGACGAAAGGCTACAGGGTGACTGGAGAAGAATGAGGAGGGAGAACCTGACACTAGGATCTAGTGGTACAACAATAAAAAGATGATGGGAATTTTTTTGTACTACATCACTGAAATCTGGAAAACAGCCTCTTGCTTGAAGAGCTCAAAAAAAGAGCAGATATCAAAATCAAAAAGACGGCAAATGGCAAGGAACAGAGTAAATTTCTTTTTATACACATGTTTAAACACACAAGCACACCCTCATTCTGGGTTGGTTTCTTATGATTTCTTCAGTGTCTCCTCTTCTCCACTGGAGGATCAGAAACTGCCCCCTTTGCCCCAGTCCCATTCAGGTCTGAGATGCACACAGGATGTTCAGTTCTAGGAAGGAAAAATGATCCCTTGCCATCCTCTTTCTGTGCCACCACTCTTTGGTAGGGTGCTATTATCAGCTAACATACACAATTGCCATTTGCCACATTCCCCCCAGTAAACACCAACAATGGAAAAGATAAAGTAACAAGTCCTTTCTTTCCTTTTGCTTGATAAAAATCTGGCTCCCCTGTGATCTAGTACTCTTCTTTGTCGAGAAAGGACTGACCCTGAAAAGCTCTTTCCCAGTTCCTCTAAATTTATGAGATTTAGCATTTAATGACAGACAATTGTATAGGCAATTTAATACAAAACCATTGTAACTGTATAGGACTGCTCCTGAGATCATTCAGTTTGCAGGTTTTTTCATTCTGGCTTTTTCTATACTGATGCTTTACAGCAACCACACAGAATAGTTTTTATCCAAAAGGGCTAAAAAAAGTCTCTGTTGCCACTTGAACTGTAGATCACAGCGGCATTTCTTAATACAGTGTGCTCAATACATTAAATGTTGCAGCAAGTGTTAAGATGTAATATATATGGAAAGCAGAATGATATATGTCAAAAAGGAACCAGCGTCCACCAACCCCGGTGTCTGTTTCTGGCACATCATTTTATCTCTCTGTGACTCTTTGTATTCCCTCTTCCCATTTATGTTCATCTTAGCTATCTGCTTGTGATAGATGTTACTGCTTGCACAGTGATTATCAAAGTAGAAACAGGACCCTCACTGTGTCCCACTAGATGCTACTATATTTAAAGAATAAGAAAGGTTCGATACCATTTCTTTTCTTGTAAATATATTCACTTGATTCTCTAAGCTAGGAAATTGTGATAAGTAGTTTGCTTTATCTGCACTACAGTGGAGTGTGTTCATACAGCCATTTACTTATCGTCTACTAGAAGAACTTTTCAGGAAGATCTTCCATGTTGCTAAATTGATTAGTAATTCTATAGATGTAGAAAAAGATACCAATTTTTCCTCAAAAAAAAGAAAAAGAAAAAGAAAAGAAAGGAAAAAAAATATCAGCAGTGCCAGGCATGGTTGCATTTCAGGTTATCCAGGCACGACTTTTCTCTGTGTGTGTGCTGTGAACCTGATTTTTTTTTCAGCAGTAGAACAGTTCATTTCCTTTTCTTTGTGCGTTTTTTCTTTTTTTTTTTTTTCTGAAGAAGCTAAACATAGCTGCAATATTTAAGCTGTAAAAATGGTGAATTTTTCATAGCTACACTAGGTACTTTGAGATAGGTCTAGTCCTTGAGCCTTTTGAAATATCCAGAAAGTTAACTGAGACTTAACAGCAGCGTCAACTTCAACAATAGAAAGAAAATAGTAATAGGATGGTCCAATTTGGGATCCTGTGTCCAAAATCTTTCTTTATAATCTCTGTTACATGGCTGAAAGATAAAG